CTATAAACCACATCCTGGCAACTGTCATGTCTCTACAATGAACTACTTGAAATGGTCTATTGTGGTTGAGGCAATCATCTCTGAGTTAATAATTAGCTACTATTCAAATCAGGTGAAATTTGTCTATTTCATATTATATCACTTTTAAGAGGAATACAAAATTTCATTTTTAGCAACTGGCATTGACTGTTGTAATCATCCATTTGTCATCCTATGTAACACAATCAAAATGAGTAGAAAAGTATGGGATTTTTTTAACCACAGCATGAAATTGCAATCATTTTCTGGGCAGCTGAAATTAAGTTCAAATGTTATCTACTTAATGTTGGTGGGCATTTATATAAAAAAGGAAAATTAATACTTATTTTAAAGGTGATATTTTCTATTATGCTACTTTGATAAGTGTCTGGAAATAACTTCTCATTCACATAAAGAATATTTTAATTATTTTGTAGTTTAATATTTGGATCTAGAATCTATAAATGCTATGTTAAATTGAAAAACAGCCAAGAGTTCTCTATTATTAAAAGTTACAATAATTATGGTAATAATTATGTCAATAACCAACTTTTTAATTTCTAATACTGTGAAATTGTTTTCAATAACCTAATAAAAGAAATGCTAGTCATCAGTAGAATACTTTCTAATTACATATCTTTTATCACAGTAGATCCATAGAAAAGCCCTAAATGCTAGTGAACATTCATGGACTGCCTCGCCAACATCCATTTCCCCTTCCTCTGGCCAAAAAACAACCATGCATTCTTTGGGAGGATCACTTCTCCAGTCTCAGCCATACAGTTTGGGTAAAGTTAACTCTGTACCTAGAACCAGGTATGGCTTACTTAGATAAGTCAGCACATTCTGTCTTCTAAGCCTCATTAATCAGTTCAAGAGTGGTTGCTCAACCCAGTGAAATATACAGTCTTGTTTTCTGGGATTTCTAGAAAAATAAAATTCCTTTTTCTCCCATGTAAACTACCATAAAATCCTGAAACTTTCTTGAATGATGTTGGTGTAAGAATTTAAGATTTGGAAACAAAATTGCTACAACTTTCACTTCAACATAGGAAAGGATGGAGACAAAGGAACAGAAAAGTAGAAAAGCAGATAGCAAAAAAAAAAAGGCGTTAAAATAGGAACCTAAAGAAAAGGAAGAAAAACTTACCAGGGGAGTAAAGAGCTGCCCAGGCTAGAGAAGACACAAGGCAGAAGCAAAGGGAGAGAAAAGCAGAGTTCAGGCTGCAGTATATTCAGAGAAAGAAAAATATTCTTACCTCTCACTGTCTCACATTCCAGATATGATTCGGCATAAATTATTCTCTATTACCACTGCCCTCTGAAACTCTCCTACCACTATTCACAGCCCAAAGACTATTCTAAATGGGGCAGCTGTAGCAAGTATTCAAGAAGAATAACTGAATTTATAGATAGAGGAACAGAGCCTTTTAATTAAAATCAAAATTCCTAAGCACAACATATGAATCCCTAGCAATCTTGGCTCAGCCAAGTTCTCTGCCTGTGTCTCCAGCCATTCCCTGCTCATATTCAAAGCTCCAACATTGTCCTATCTTTGCAGCCCTTGCATTTGCTATAAGCCATGCCAGGATTATACCTTTCTCTGCTGCCCAGAACTTAGTGAGCTCCTACCCATCCTTTAAGACTTAGTTCATATATCACTTCCAACTCTACCTCCACTACTTATCCTTGAACAGATGTGTCCCCTTCCTCTCTCCTAGCCCAGTTAGCATATGACACAGGGAGTGCTCCATTGATAGAGCTAAAACAAATGCAGTTTTTCTCAAAATTCTTAAATTTCAACAGAAACACTTGTCCATCAATTAAATTCCATGATAGTTTTCACTCAAAGGACCAAAACATGATAGGTAGTGATCTATAAGGACCTGCTGTGTTGCATTATCTTTCTGTGACTCTTGGGTATGCTTTGTGCATGGGGTGGGAGTGAGATGGAGATCTTGATACGTGTTCTTTGTTACTGAATGATCTTGCCTGTTTCTAGCTCAATTTGCCTCTTCCCTGTAGCTTCACCACAGAAAAGCTTTGCAACAGGGGGCTGACTGGTGTTGGTTAAGGCGCTGGATTCCCACATGGCCAAACAAAGTTTAAGCCCCGACCTGGTGACTTGCTTTCTCTCTCTCTCTCTCTCGCTCTCTCTCTCTCTCACATGTGCCCTATAGCAAATTAAAAATAATAATTAATTAATTAAATAAGTTTTTTAAATGCTTTGAAATACCCTTGCAAGTGATTTCACTCTTCCCATTCCCACACCCACCTCAGTGAAACACACTCTCTCACATTAAATTCTAGAAGATACTCAAACACTACAATACCCTACAGGACAATCATTTTCAAAACTCATTAATTATTACTGAAGTAAAGAGTATAACAGTCTGAGTAGAGATCACGAGACCTAAGACTCAACTCTAAGATCTGCTGCAGAATTTACAATGCCTAGTACAAAATAAAAAATGTAAAACCTCTTATTCAAAAATGACTAAGAATTTCAAGGCAGTAACAGCTGAACATTTAAACTAAGCTCAGAGCCTTCTATGACTGCACAAGTCACACACCCGTGATAATGTATTGCCTCCATACCTATTGGATATGCAACTTTCATCTGGTTACTTAACCTACCTCAGGTTACTTACATTTAGTTATAAAGTTAGAGGAGGGAAGAAAAGCCTTTCAGCTAATTCCCATAAATAACATCTGTGGCTCTCTGTTAGAGAGCAACATCATTCATTTGAAGATAATTCTGTTACACTTTTATATAACCACTAAAATCCTGACTGTGACTCAAAGCTACACTTAAAAACCCATACACAGTATTCTACCTTCAACTATATTGATTTTTTTCTTAACTTCTATACACCTCCTTAATTTTGCCTAAAAGGAAAAAAAACTCCAAAGCAGTGTTCCAAGTTTACTATTTTCCCATGTATCCCATTTAAATCTGAAATTCCCAACTGAGGTCTCTATGTCTAGTAAGTAATTTTTCCCACAGTAAAATGTCTCCTTGAACAAATTAGATATTTTCTTTTTCCTGCCCCTGAAAAATTATCCATTCAGAATCAACTTCCACATATAGTATAGCATCTGGGTCTGATCCAGTAAAAAGGAGGCAAATGTCATTTTGAGAGTGAGTTAACCCTTTTACTCTATCAGTTGAATATTTAGCACCACATAACTGATAAATTATAAAACAAGGGTTCTGAATCTGAGATCACAGACAGAATTCTGGGAGTAAATTAATTTGAGTGGGGAAAAAAAAGTATCTATATTCTTATAACCCTCTAGCTAAAATTTAGCATTTTGTTCAATTATGAATGGACAATAAATTATAAGAATACTAATAGTACTATGACTTGGTCACCAGTAATTATACATATTTTCATAAAACACTTTATTACAGTCTTAAAATGTCATTTACACTCAACACTACCTCAAACTTGTAATATGTTGAACTCATTACTAGAACCTGTGGTTTAATGTGTTAGTAAAAATCATATACATTGGAGGAATATAAAACACAATTGAGGGGCTAGCAGATGGTGTAGTGGTTACATGCTGGACTCCCACATGGCTGACTACAGTTTGAGTCCCAAACTGACCTCTTGAAGCTCACACAGGGCACATGTGTGAGCATGCCCAAAATCCTGAAAAGAGAATGGAAGAGTGAACCAGCAGTTAGCGTAACGGCTATGTCACTGGACTCCCACGTAGTCGACCGCGGTTCGCGTCCCGGACCCGGTGGCTTAAAACTCACGCCGGGCGCGTGTGCGTGCATGCCCAAGATCCCGAGAGGAGAATGGAGGAGAAGGGATTGCAGCATGACCATCCCCCCTGGGGGGTGATTTCTCGCTTTCTGTCTCTATGTCTCTCTCTGTCTGTCTGGCGAGAGCACGCGCCCTATAGTGAAAATCTCTCCAAAAAAAAAAAAAAAAAGAATGGAAGAGAAGTGATTGCGTTGTGGCTAGTGCCCATAGGGGGGTGATACCTCAGTTTCTATCTCTCTGTCTCTCTCTCTCTCTCTCTCTGTCTCTCTGGTGAGCGCATGTGCCCTTTGGCAAAAAACTCTAAAAGAAATATACATAATTATAACACACAATTAGGGGGCCAACAGATGGCATAATGATTATGTCATTGGACTCCCACATGGCCAACTGAGGGACCCAGTTGAGTCCTGGACCTAGCAGCTTGAAACATGCTTGGTACATGTGTGTGTGTGTGCCCAAAATCATGAAAGGAGAATGGAGAAGGAACTGCAATGCGGCCATCCCCTGTTGAAGGGGGGGGTAATATCTCACTTTCCATCTTTCTGTTTCTCTCTTTCTCTATCTCTCTGGTGAGCACACATAACCTATGGCAAAAACCTCTTTAAAAATATATATATATGTATGTATGTGTATATATACATATATATGTGTGTGTATATATGTGGGTGTGTGTGTTTATATATATATATATATATATATATATATATATATATATCACAAAATAGATTTTTATATTAGAATAGCTATAATATAACAGGCTTGCTCTGTCATCCTAAATAGCTCACCTTATGTATTTAAAAACATGATTCCAAGGAAATATCTACAGACTTCACCAGATGACCAAAGGGTCCATGGCACATAAAAGGTAAAGCAGAACCTCTGGTCAGAAGTTACAGTTCATGTAACAATAAAATAGAAACAACTGTACTCTTGTCTCGTAAGTAGTCATAGACCAATTTTGGTTAAAAAAAGAAACAGTCTTAAAATTCTAGTCCAACACCAATTACAACAAAATCATCATGGTCTATTGATTTTAATATGAGAACAACGGCATCAAACAGAGCAACCTTAAAGTTGTTCTATATTTTTTTCTGTTCTTTTGTGTTTTTTTTTATCTATTTTGCACATAAGATCATATAATCGATCTGAAAAGATATAACCCAGACACATTATTTTATACTAAAACGTCACTTGAATTGATACCTGAGAAGACAGGAGGTTACAGTCAATGAACAGTCCTTTTCCAGTTTTATATCTTTGTATCAATCCAGCCATAATGGCTCCATATGCATACAGGCCAGTGGCAAGGTCAGTCATGGCCACTCCTGGGCGAACAGGATCTCCATCCTGATATTAGGGTAGGTTTGAAAAAAACATAAAATTGAAAATTAAAACCATCATATGATTTCTCAAATATCCTAAGATCAAAAAGAAGAAAGAAGCATATATCAAGCAAGCAGACACATACACACACACACACACACACACACACACACACACACTAAAGGTGACAATTTGCTATTGTGAATATTTGTTGGTGATGAGAACATATTCATTTTTACTGTATGTTTCTCACCATATTTCTCTCCCCTAACCAAACTAAACTAACCCAAATAAAATTTTTAAAAATTTAAACACATCTTAATACAGTTTGCCTTGTTTATACTAAAAAGTAAATAAATAATTGAATTTGAATGTGTTGAAAAGAAAGGAGTTAACACAATAGTTTTCTCCTGTAGGAGAGAGGTTATTTCAGGAAAAAGAGATGGCAGAAATCTTGGTCTAATCTCCTTATAATAGCTGGAAATACAATAAAGATATTTATATTGAAAAAAAAATATGAAAAGATGCTTAACAGCATTAGCCATTAGATAAATGCAAATGAAAACCACAATGAGCTTACAACTCAAAAATAAAAAGACAAATAAACCGATGAAAACCTGAGCAGACATTTCTCCAAATAATATAGATACAGAAGGCTAATGAGGCACTTGAAAAGATACTGAACATCATTAATCATTAGAGGAATGTAAATTAAAACCACAATGAAATACTACTTCACACCCACAAGGATCGTGCTCATGAGAAAAGGAGATAATGAGTGTCAGCACAGAAGTGGAGAAATTGGAACTTTCATACACTGCTGGTGGAATTGTGAAATGGTCTAGTCACTGTAGAAAACAATTTAGTAGTTCTTCAAAAAGTTAAACACAGAGTTAATGTATAACTCAGCAAATCTACTAAGAGAATGAGCACATGTCCTTATAAAAAGCTCACACATAAGTTTTCACAGTTGCCTTATTCATAATAGACTAAGAATAGAAGTAACTCAAATGTCCATTTACTGATTAACAGATAAACAAAATGTGGTATACCCACACAAGAGGATATTTAGGCAACAAAAGGAAGTGAAATACTAATACATCTACAACTTCAAAGACATTAAGCTGAGCAACATTACACAGCAACAAAGGCTGTGATACTGTATGCTTCCATTACAAGAATTAGTCAGAATAGGCAAATCCACAGAAACCAAGGAGATTGGCCAGAGACTAGGAGGAGCTAAGAATAAGGAGTGACTGATAATGAGGATGAGGTTTCCTTATGGAGTAATGAAAATATTCTAAAACGGATTATGGAATGGTTGCACAATCTGTGAATTATAATAAAAAACATTAATTGTACACTTTAAAGGAGGTAAGTTGTATGGTATATGAATTCCATATCTACAAAGCTGTCTCTTTTTTTAAGTATCATTATAGTCCTGGTAATCAAATGAAAATCAAAGCAGAAAAAATAAAAATTAAATTTAAAAAATTATTAAAGTCCTAATTTTTTTTTTAGAGAGAGTTTTGCTATAGGGCACATCTGCTTGCCAGAGAGACAGAAAGTGAGAAATCACACCCATATGGGGTGGCCATGCTTCAATCCCTTCTCCATTCGCCTCTTGGGATTTTGAGCATGCACACATTCATGCCCAGCGTGAGTTTTAAGCTGCCGGGTCAGGACTTGAACCGCAGTTGACTACATGGGAGTCCAGTGACATAACCATTATGCCATCTGCTGGTCTCTAAAGGCCTAATTTTTAAAACAAATGTATTTCATAGAAACTCTAGATGCTGCATTTCATCCACAGCTGTTTGACCACATATGACCTACCATTCATTCTCTAATACAGTTCAGAGGAGCTGTGTTCATGGTGTGGAAATCCCTCATAAATGCACTGTTATCGTTGAAGAATTGTCAGCATGGCAGAGAAATAAGGGAGTGGAAACAAATTACTACTTATTTTACAGGAAGCCACACAAAGGACCACATTATGGCTACGAAGTGACCGAGTACTCCCAGGAGCAATAAGACAGAGTCAGAGACCAACCTGTGTGAATGCAAGGTACCAACCTCTCCTTCCACACCTGGAACTCCAGTGGAGCTCCGCTCTGCTAACAATACAAAACAATGTCTCCCTTCTCCTGAAATATGGGATAAGTGGGGTGCTACAGTCTCTTTTTAGGGATAGGGATTCATTACTCAGAATCCTTAATAAAAATATATTTGAGGAAAAAAATGGGTAATTAACTGACTTACTTAAGCAATATACCCTAGAATCTCACTGTAATTTATTGGGAAGCAGATTTAAATTCATCTGTAGGCTTTCAGAAATCAAGTGATACATTTATTTTACTAAATTATGGTTCTAGAAATTAATAAAAGTTTTACTTTTTTATGGTCACTAAAAATCTTTTATTTACTTTTCAAATTTATTTCATAGTTTCTTTTTTACTTTAATTGTTGTAGAAACTACTTTAAATGTATTTAACACTTTTAATAAGTTAATTATAACCCTTTTTAAGAAAAATTTATGATGCATTTTCTTTAAAACTAAAAGATATGCTTCTCATCAAAAAAGATAAGATACTCTAAAACTGAAAACATACAGTTATAGTGGGAGGACAAAGTATTAAATAAAAATATTAACAGTCTTCCAATAACTTACTTTTCACATTCATTCATGACTCTCCACTCTCACAGTTTTAATATTATCTTCTTATTCTCTCTTATTCCCATGATTCATGTATTCAAAAACCCAAACATTGATGGAAAAACTAATAAAATCTGAATAAAATATGAGGTTTAGTTAATAGTATTGTACCAGTTAAAATGTCTTAGTTTTGATCACAGTTATATGGTTTTGTAAAAATTAACTTTAAAGAAAATTTGGTAGAAGAGTATAGGAATTATCTGTAGTAGTTTTACAACTTCTCTCTAAAACTATTTCAAAACTTAAAAGTTGAAGAGTAAAACCTGGATTATTTCTTTAAAATATAAAATTTGATAACTTAAAAAATTATTTAGTGTTTTTTTTTTAAATAACCCAATCTAGAGAAGTGGGGGACATGACTATTTTTAAAAGTTTTTTAAATTTTCCTGGGACCAACAGAAGGTGTAATGGTTATGTTGCTGGACTCCCATGTAGTTGACCAGGGTTTGAGTCCTTGACTAGGCAACTTAAACTCACACCAGGTACAGGCACATGCATAACAAAATCCTGAGAGGAGAATGGAGAAGAGGGGATTGTGGAATGGCTATCCCTACTGGGGGGTGATTTCTCACTTTCTGTCTCTCTGGCAAGCACACACACCCATTAGCAAAAATCTCCCTCAAAAACAAACAAACAAACAAAAATTCTTTATGTAACAATCTCCTAAATTACAAAATTAAGAATTTAAAATGTATTATTTCTCAGACACAATTCAAGACAGATGAACATTTTCATTCATTTCTCTACATCTATTCTTTTCACTACTTTCAGAATTTACCAAATTAAACAGACAAAAAAAAACTTAGAAGGAAGAAGAAAGAAAAAAAAGAAGAGAACAGAGAAGAGGATGGAGGAAATAATACATTTTTCTAAGTTATTATCTAAAATCTTGTCTTGTTAAAAAGTACGTAAGACACTATAAATCAATTCTGGCATATGTCCAATAAAAAGGCATGAATTTAAAAAGCTGCCAAGTATTTTTCTCTTAAATTACATTACTCAATATAATTTCTTCATCAGACAACAAAAATGTCAAAAAGTTTAAAACTAATAAAATCTGAATAAAATATGAGGTTTAGTTAATAGTATTGTACCAGTTAAAATGTCTTAGTTTTGATCACAGTTATATGGTTTTGTAAAAATTAACTTTAAAGAAAATTTGGTAGAAGAGTATAGGAATTATCTGTAGTAGTTTTACAACTTCTCTCTAAAACTATTTCAAAACTTAAAAGTTGAAGAGTAAAACCTGGATTATTTCTTTAAAATATAAAATTTGATAACTTAAAAAATTATTTAGTGTTTTTTTTTTAAATAACCCAATCTAGAGAAGTGGGGGACATGACTATTTTTAAAAGTTTTTTAAATTTTCCTGGGACCAACAGAAGGTGTAATGGTTATGTTGCTGGACTCCCATGTAGTTGACCAGGGTTTGAGTCCTTGACTAGGCAACTTAAACTCACACCAGGTACAGGCACATGCATAACAAAATCCTGAGAGGAGAATGGAGAAGAGGGGATTGTGGAATGGCTATCCCTACTGGGGGGTGATTTCTCACTTTCTGTCTCTCTGGCAAGCACACACACCCATTAGCAAAAATCTCCCTCAAAAACAAACAAACAAACAAAAATTCTTTATGTAACAATCTCCTAAATTACAAAATTAAGAATTTAAAATGTATTATTTCTCAGACACAATTCAAGACAGATGAACATTTTCATTCATTTCTCTACATCTATTCTTTTCACTACTTTCAGAATTTACCAAATTAAACAGACAAAAAAAAACTTAGAAGGAAGAAGAAAGAAAAAAAAGAAGAGAACAGAGAAGAGGATGGAGGAAATAATACATTTTTCTAAGTTATTATCTAAAATCTTGTCTTGTTAAAAAGTACGTAAGACACTATAAATCAATTCTGGCATATGTCCAATAAAAAGGCATGAATTTAAAAAGCTGCCAAGTATTTTTCTCTTAAATTACATTACTCAATATAATTTCTTCATCAGACAACAAAAATGTCAAAAAGTTTGTTTTTAAAGTAGTTGGCTTCATCTCCAGAAATGAAAAAAAAAAATTATCCTTAAATGTATCTGTATCTTTATGACACATTTTTATTTCATACTGAGTCATTCATTATACTAATGTAATCTACAAAAAATTTTTTATCCTAAGACACATGAATTTTTTAATGAACCATTTTCTGAAATATGAATTATTTCACCACTTACTAACTACATAACCTTTGGAAAGTTCTTGGTCTTTCTTGGATTTTTCTCAATTGTCAAATGTGGGTAATGGTAACATCTACTTC